TTGAAATACCCCTTCAACGTCCAAATGGTAAAATATATCCTAGTGGCACCTGGGTGGCTCAGTCAGTTAAGCATCTGCCTTCCGCTCAGGTCATGATCCCAGGATCCTGAGATCGAGTCCCACATTGGGCTCCTTGCTTAGCAGGGAGCCTGCTTCTCCATCTCCTGCTCCCCAACTTGTGTTGAATCTCTCTCCCTCTTTCTTTCAAATGAAATCTTTAAAAATAAATAAGTAAATAAATAAAATAAATCCTAAGTGGTATCTAAAGTCAGCATCTCTCCAAAAAGAGGACCTGAATACCTATGACCATTTCACCGCTAAGTGATCACATGTGCATTTCTGGCCTTCCAGTTATCAATGGAACTAAACAACACTGAGCACCATCTCTTGAAATGCAATTACCTATTGTGCAAATAAGAGGTCCCCCCTTAACACTAACTTAGGTCCCTGAAAACGGTAGGATATTAGCAATAGCTCAATATCCAGAAACTAGACACAAACCCATCTTTGGCAATAGCCAAGTTTTGGTAGGAATATAGCACAAGCCTGTCCAGATACCAGAACCCCTGGGGCTCCTGGGCCCCAAGCTCAGGGTCCCCTTGCATGACAAAACACCCTGGAGGGATATAACCACGGGGAGATAAGGAGAGTTGGGGACTTCACAGAGTCTCTTAAAGCCTGCTTTGATGGCCTTGCTGAGTTTACACAAAAATAACAGCACTATTGCATTAACTTACCCACTGGAACTTCCTGTTAGCCATCTGGCCGAACACTATTTAATCTTTTCTCCTCTGCCTTTGGTGATATTGCCTTACTTCTGGATTCTTATCTCTGACAATTATTTCAAAGTCTCCTTCACCCCTCCCTTAAATGCTTTCCTGCAGGGCTCTCTCCTGCATGATCGTCATGGGTGATCTCCTGTCTTTCAAGGCCTTGTTTCTCCGCTGATGAAATGAAGAATTCTGGGCTGCCATGTGTGGTTGTATAGGTTGGTCACTGCACAATGGTGCCAGGCCAAGGTGGCAAATAGGGGTGAAATCCATTCTGCTCTCTGTGTGCCAAGCCAGGTACCCACAGGGCTCCCCAGATTCTCATCTCTAGCTCAGGTGTCCCCTTAGTCATAGACATCTGGTCCAAGCAAGGCTGGCCACCTCTCCCTGAATATCCTCCAAGGAACCACACATGGAACACGGATCCATCTCGCCGCCTCCAAACTCTCCCTCCCTCACATCCCTGGCTCTCAGCGCGGGGCTCCATCACACAAAGCAGAAAGCTCAGGAGAACCTGAGCATTCTCCTTCCCTGACCCGCCATCTCCTGTCTGACAGACTCCATCCCCTCCTCCCCAGCCACAGCTGTGCATCAGGAGCTGACCTCATTACTTCTCTTTTCATTTCATCTGCCCGGCCCATGCCTACCGGTCCCTAAATCCTTCACTCTGCTGCAAAAACAATCTTGCCACAGTATTTTGCTCATGTCAGGCCACTACTTTGATTCCTTTCAGAGCTTTCCACTGCCCAGAGGACAAAGTCCCAACTCCTTAGAGTGCCTCGTGGGGTCACCCGTGGGTCAGATCTCTAACTCCCTCTCACCGTTTTGCTCCTTGCTCACGCCGAACATGTCACTGTTCCCTTGCTGTCTGGCCTTTGCTGCACAGGAAACTCTATGTGGAATCCCTGAGTCAAGGGCCCCTCTTCGAAGATGTGTCTGACACACAGTAAAGCTGCTGGCCCTCTTCTTCAAGCCCCCAGATGTCCACACTAACACCCACAATGCTTGTTGGCATCTGGGTTTCTCAGACTCCTCCAGGACGACAGTGTTCCAAGACCAAGCCGGTCTCCCATTTGACTTTGCGCCCCTACAGCCCCGCACCGTGGCCAGCACTGAGACCATCCCCATCCAAAAAATCCTAAACGGATCTAAAAATAAGCAGATTAGCCAGAGCAAGGTACTACAAGTGTAACCTGGGCTTTAAACTAGTTATATTTGTATGTGGTGCAGAAACGGGGACAGAACATTAACGGGGCCAAGCACTGTGTGAAGAGACCAGGGATTAAGGGACAGGAGAAGCATCTGGAAGAGAGGGAGACGGACAGGAAGACAGAGAGGAGTGATGCGTGGCGGCTGGAGCAGGGTGCACGGCCTTGGCCTGGGTCGCAGGGCAGGGGAGGCCCCAGAGGTGGACTGGAAAGGAAGGTGGAAATGGCGAGCCCGGCCAGGCGGAGACACATACGCGTATGACCCCAGGAGTCAGGAGGTCACAGAGGCACGGCATGAGGACAGCAAGTACCTGCTCTAATAGGTACTTCCCTGCCCCAAGGGGGTCAGGTCCAAAAATGTAAACAGCAGCCCGCAGCCATGCAAAACGGGTCTAAGAAAGCCATCCAGGGGAGAGTCAGAAAGACAGCCCTTAGGCTAAGGAACAAAATCTTTAATATTTGGGGTCTGCACGATCCTTCCTAGCACTGACTGGCTTCGGAAAGGCATTTCCCATCCCCAACCCCTTCCTCAGACCTCCCCATCTTAGCTGCAGGGTGTCCCCTCCTCCAAGAAGCCTTCCTTGATCTCCCCGGGGTTTTCCAGGAACACACTCTCAAAACACCTGGGACTTCTCCTTCACAACCCTGCTCATAAGGGTAATCAAATACATACTCATTAAAAATCTGCTTCCAAAGTGAGGAAGATAAGCTCTTTGAGGGAAGGGGCACTTCTCTATCATTATTATAATATCCCCAGCATCCAAAAGTCTACCCGGGACTTGGGTGAGGCCCAGTAAGTGTCTGTTGAATGAACAAATCAATTAATCCAACAGATAAGGATGAATCAATAAGTGAATAAAAGTTCCCTGTATCTAGAACGTAGGACCAAGGGAGCCAGGATGATTGTGAGCATATTGGAGAGGGTGGGGAAGCGAAAGGAGGGCCAGTCCTACCAGAGATAACAGAGATCCCAGAGTAGGAGTCAGTAGCTTGAGGGCCCCTCTGAACCCGTGAACTCCTGAATTAAGATCGTCTTAAGTGCTTGAAAAAGAAGGGGGTGCCCAGGCAGCTCAGTTGATTAAGCCTCTGCCTTCGGCTCAGGTCACGGTCCCAGGGTCCCGGGATCCAGCCCTGTTGTTGGGCTCTCTGCTCAACGAGAAGTCGGCTTCTCCCTCTGCCTCTCCCCCTCCCTCCCCTGGCGTGTGTTTTCCCCCCCACCCCCCTCTCTCATGCTCTCTCAAATACATAAATAAAATCTTAAAAAAAAAAAGTCCTTGAAAAAGAATCAAAAGAATGTTTCGTAACATGCAAAACCAGGGATTTTTACTTTTTTTGGGGTACACATTGATTTTTTTAACCAAGAATATACCACTCTCTAATTAATAAAATACATACTCTTTAAAATCTGCTTCCAATGTGAGGAAGATAAGCTCTTTGAGGGGAGGGATGCTTCTCTATCATTATTATAATACCCCCAGCATCCAACAAAATAAAATCTTAAAAAAAAAAGTCCTTGAAAAAGAATGAAAAGAATAATGTTTTGTAACATACAAAACCAGGGATTTTTACTTTTTTTTTTTGTACACATTGAGTTTTTTTAACCAAGAATATACCATTCTCTAATTAAAAAAAAAAATAAAGACAAAAATGCAGATTTTAGAAAGCCTCCTTTACCACTCCCCCACCTCCAGCCCCTTTGCAACAGAGTGGCTAATTCCGGACGAGAAGGGGCCCAAAGCCTTGCTGATCTCAGGATCATATGGTCCAATTTCTGCATTTCACAGATGGGAGCTGTGCCTATAGACACTTTGCCTCCGAAACTTCAAAGTCCGGTAACAATGCAAAGCTACTTGTGTGTTTGTTTTGAGGAAGTTTAAGATGCTAATGACCAGAAATAGTCCCACTTCCCTTTTCCTAGAAACCCCAGTTACCTCTTTGGCAGGAACACGCCCCTCGAGCCCCAGGGGATGGGAACCGCCAGCCACCCCGAGGGGGCAGCTGCCGGCTGCTTCCCAGGCCATTCCCTCTAAAGAGCAGCCGGCCCTCCAGGTGGACACCCCCAGGGTGCAGGCCTGTTATCATCAGCCCCACTTATGGTCCCCCTGGGTAGGCGGAGCTGACCGTTAAGTCAGGTGGGTGTCGACAAGGGAAGTAAGGGGGCCAACGCTGAGTCAACACGTGAATGGGATCGTATTTCACATCCTGCCTCAGCACACAGATCTGTGATGCCCCCCCAACATCGAACCGTCAGTGTTTCCATCCTCCAGGAGGCAGGAAGGTCAAGGACAGAGCTCTTTTAGCTATGTGGGCACTGCCCTCCCGAGACCACCTTGTTAGAGAACGTGTCACTCTTTCTTCTATAAACCTTCTCCAGCCTTCCCACAGACCACTGGAGAGCCCACCTGGAAGCCCCCATGAAGGCCCAGGAAGCCCACAATCCCTGGGGACAAGGAGGTGGGGGTCCTAACTCACCTCAGAAATGCACAAGGGACCTGCATTATCTATTAGAACAAATATCCCTGAGCAGCCCGAGCATTTCCCAAAGAACCTTCCAAGAAATGCCAGCCAGTGAGCTACTCTGGGGAAAAGGAAGCGATGTGTGCTGAAGTTAGGGAAACCCCTCATTTGTGACCCTCTCCCAGGAGCTTCTGTCTCATTAGTACATTCCATGTTCCAGATAATCACGCAGTAGCTAAACTTGGTTGACTTGACTCGAACCCGCTGTTCACTAGAGAAACCTTTTGAGATCCCGGAGCGGAAAACAGCCCTAGACCATGAGGTTGGGTTCAACAGAGATGCCCGGAGCGGCGGTGACTTTCCAGGGAGGACCCCTGACCCTGAAGGGTGGGCTTCCCGAGCCACCGCGGACCCCCACCACCCACCCAGCACTGCAGGGGAAAGCTCGAACCCACTATAGCCTCTGAAGCCAGTTTCCGAGGCAAACGACTAGCCGCTGGGAGAGGCAAGAGGGACACAGAAACGCGGGGACCCGTGTAACATGCTCCCCAGCGCGAGGACTCACCATTGGTGGCCGTGTTGACATAGTAGCGCCGGCCCTGGGGAGACAAGTAGCTCTGCCAGCCAGGTGGAAGGACGACAATGTGGCTTTCCTCTCCGGGCGGAGGGGGTACCATTCCAGGCTTCTGTGGAAGAGGAAAGGAAAGGTCACACATGCCGGGCATTTCGGCGACTGGGTTTCAACCAGTCTGGGACCAGGAAGTCGGAGGCAGGTGAAGTCACTTTGGAAGAGCTGATGCTGGGGGGACAGGAGGTGGCTCGCTGGCCTCCCTGGGGGGAGGAGGTCACAGACCACACACGTGGGATTTGAGGGCTTGCCCAAGCATGCCACTGTGGAAGGGACAGCTTCCCAAAAAAGACCGTTAGAGAGCTGGACCTTCTCCCCAGACAGCCCCCTGCACGGAACTCGCTGGGCGGGCTGTGTGGGCTGTAGCGGCCCCAGTCTTCTGCGCATGCCCACTGTGGAATCCAAAGCCTGGACCCCCAGGACCACCACGGAGAGCCGCAGACGAGGCCCAGGGCTTGCTGGGCCTGGGCGAACCAACCAGAACTTAACACAAGTCTCAGCTAGTCTCTTTTTTTTTTCTTTAAGATTTTATTTATTTATATGAAAGAGAGAGAGAGAGAGAGAAAGCATGAGAGGAAGAGTTAGAGGAAGAAGCAGACTCCCCATTGAGCAGGACTTAATCCTGGGACTCCAGGATCATGACCTGAGCCGAAGGCAGTCGCTTAACCCACGGAGACACCCAGACACCCTCAGCAAGTGTCTTTAGGGCGAGATCTAAAGCCTTCCATAACCACACTGAGAACCAAAGAAGGGCTCTATGGGGCTTTTCTGGTCCACTGTCCAAATCTCTCTGGGGGATCTGGAGGGAACCAGGACCCATGGCCAAACCACAGCTCCCTTTCCACCATGGGCACTTTGTGCACTTATGTGTGGTTTAATCTTTTTTTTTTTCCTTAAAGATTTTTATTTATTTATTTGAAAGAGAGAGAGAGAACATGATTAGAAGCCAGGGGCTAAGGGAGAGGGAGATGCAAACTCCCCGCTGAGCAGAGAGCCCGATGTGGGGCTCGATCCCAGGACCCTGAGATCATGACCTGAGCCGAAGGCAGAGGCTTAACCAACTGAGCCACTCGGGTGCCCTGATTTCATCTTTTGCCCATAGGAACAGTACTCTTCTTCTTCTTCTTTTTTTTCTTAAAACATTTTATTTATTTATTTGACAGACAAAGATCACAAGTAGGCAGAGAGGCAGGCGGCGGGTCGGTGGGGGGGGGGGAAGCAGGCTCCCCACTGAGCAAAGAGCCCGATGTGGGGCTCGATCCCAGGATCCTGAGATCATGACCTGAGCCGAAGGCAGAGGCTTTAACCCACCGAGCCACCCAGATGCCCCGAGAACAGTATTCTTAAAAATACAAATCAGAGAAAAGATATATATACATAAGAGAGAGAAAGCAGGTGAACCCAAGATCCAAGAGAGAGAGGTGACTTCCGGCGGTGGCATGATGGGCAAATTTTTCTCCTCTCCTTTTTACTTCTCTCTTGCATCTAAATGTCCCTCAAACAACAAAAATAAGCGGTGAGCTAAAGAACATTTAAAAATAAGGAAAGAGGGTCCAAATTAGTCCACACGGCGGCTGTGCCTTCTGAACATAGTTAAGTGGATTCAACCACGCAGGGAGAGGGGCTGTAAATTTCTCAGCAAAGCTGGGCTCTGTTCAGATGCATTAAAAACAAATCCGCTTCTCAGCGTGTCCGTGTCCTCAGCCCCTCTCTGTCCTGCCCGCCAAGGCACTTGTGGTCACTGAGTACGGTTACTTAGGAAAACCAGCTAAAAGAATCAAAGCAAGCAGTACGGACAGCGGCTCTCAGCCTGCCCTGCCCTCCTATTGTCTGAAGGTTGCAAAACCAGCTACTTCTGCCTGTGGCACAGCCTCACCAGGGATCAGGTCCCTCCTAGATGCTCCCAGGACCCTGGGGAACCACGGCCTCCCCATGGCCAATGTGGTTCACGGCTGTTAACCCGCAGTATCAGTATGGAAGGTGGACTACTGGGCACTGGACGCCAACCGGGAGATCTTCTCACCAACAGAGCACGTGTGCTGAGCCCAAACCCACACCTGAGCGTGTCCACCTGGGCCTCCAGACACCTGCTCTGGCGTCTCCCAGATTGCAAGGTGGTCCAAATATTGCACGCACACAGTCTCACGATGAGTAGTGTGCGTGCATGTAGGAAGTATCCCACACACAGGAGAGGTGTATCTTGGCTGAATGGGGCTGGGGATCACACAAGCATAGGGAGCTTAGGAGGTTTAAGTTAAGAGAGGAATATTCTAGAACCAGAGGGTACAATGCTGGGTCGCTTCTGCTAGAGTCAATGTCTTCGAGCATCCAAGATGGGAAGGCTACGTTGGTGCTTCTCCCAGCAGCCGGGGAGGAAACGGGAAATTGTTAAAGGGTATTAAGCAAGGGCCGGATACGGACGCGGCCGGAAATAGGGTACAGAGGGGAGAGGGACCCAGGAGCACCGTGGAAACAGCCCTCCGGCCTGGGCCTCAATACTGACTCAGCCCCTGAGGGGACACATGATAGGAAAGTGACTCAGCCGACTGCCTTTATCCATGTGTCTACACAACAGAGGAGGAGGACAGGAGCCCTGTTGGTGAAGGCTCCTAGGAGGGTGCCTGTGACCAGGAACGCTCCGTGACAGCGGGAGGAGGTGTGTTTAAGAGCCCAGCGAGACGAGACTTCATACAGCCTCTGCCCCCTGAGAGGGGAAGGTCAGGGGCCCCGCACCCCAGCCTGCTCCACCACGCTTGAAATGTCACTTGTAACTGCCACTTCTCCCCAGGCCTCTGTTTCCAAAACTCTGCAACTCAGCTGGCAAGCACACACCTGCTGGGGAGGGAACGCGTTCGGAGGTTGACCAGCTGGATCTGCAGAGAAGCCTGGATAGGTGGCAAGGAGACCACCATCCAAGCGGGGCTGTTTGAGGGACCGGACTGAACTTCTGACCCTCCACGCCCCACCTGGGACAGAGCAAACAGGGACACCTGCCCCATCTCCATGGTGCTTTCCTCTTGAAAATGACTCTAGGAGGTTTATGTAACTCTGGGGGCTCAGAACAAGCTCTGGTTTGCATGGGAGGACACTGATGACCAAGGAGGCATTGTGACCACCCACCCTGAGGTCTTGCCCATCTAGGAAATGCTGGACCCTCCAAGCCCAACCCTCCTGAAGGTGACTGCGGGGGAAGGATCTCTGCTACTGAGCCAGGAAGGGCCAAGTGGCACTGGAAGAGAAGGGACAGAGGGGACGAGGGCACCAGGGCCAACTCAGCCTACTTCCTAATTTGGATAATGCACCCAAGGCCGTCCCCTCATCCCCCTCCAGCATGACCTCGGCTCCTTGCTCTGCCTGTCACCTGCCTGTGCTCCGTCCCCATCCCCCGAGGCTGCCACAGTTCCCTTGCCTTTGCTCTCGCCCAGAAAGAAGTTCCCCTAGTTGGTGGCCTGAGACACATCAAGAGTGGAAAGATGCGGAGACCCCTGGGAACATACCCAAAAGAACTGAAAACGGCACCAAAACACTTGTGAATCCATGTTCGCAGCAGCGTTATCCATAATGGCCAAAAGGCAAACACAACCCAAGGGTCCATCAACTGATGAGGGGGTCAACAAAACACTGTGTGTCCAGCGCAATACCCAGTTGTCGAAAGGAAAGAGGCTCTGCTCCATGCTACCACATGAATGAGCCCTGAAGCCATGCATACGATTCCATTTATACGCAATGCCCGGAAGAGGGAAATCCACAGAAACAGAAAGCAGATGAGTGGGGTCGCCAGGGGTTGGGGGGGAGGGAAGGACGGGTCCAGGGGTTCCTCTTTGGGGTCGATATAAATGTTGCGCCATAGTATGAATGTATAAATACCACTCGGGATATATTTTATGTCATGTGTATTTCACAACTTTTTAAAAAAAACATCATTTTTGAGCTGCAAGGGAGCAGAAATTAAGACTCTCCACATGCAGCAGGTTCTCTTACTGAAAAGGCATAGAGCACCTACATGACCTCATCACTCGTGGTCATGGGGGTACTGGCCTCCTGGGAGAGCTGCCACCCCCCAGCCATCAAGACAATGCAGCGTGAATAACAACCCAATAATTAAGGTCTCTGTCACACTTCCTCTCCTAATTTGCTTCCTTCAAGTTAAATCCTTCCCTTCCCCTCCCTTCCCTAGTCCAGTGGCTTCTCCCCTTCCATTCCGAAAGCTCCTTCCCATGGGAAGAGGAACAAGAAGCAGAGGTGACACAGGCCCAGAGATTGGGGCCCTACTGACAATGAGCAAGATCCGAGGAAGTGGGAGTAAGGATAGGAGGGTGAAGGTAGTTTCCTTCAACTTAGAAATTCTTAACCTCATGTACATCACAGCTTTGCAGGAATCATAAAAACGTTGTCTCTTCCTCCAGATGGGCCATCGCCCTGACTGCCAGCTGGATTTCAGCCTCCCCTGGGTCCCCTTGTTCAGTCAACAACCTACTCAACTGTTTATGGAGACCCATCCTCTGAGGATCTGAAGGTAACTGTGGATCTTCTGCCCTGCAAAATGGAGTCATGCGTTCATGTACACCCTTACCCTATTTCCTATAGAGTATCAGGAGGCTTCTAGATGACTCAGAGCCCTAATCTAGCTGGTAATCAAGAAACACACGAGCTCAGATCCCATATGCATCCATCGATAACGACTTTTATCAAGCACCAAGTGTTGATGGGCTCCAAGGACTGGGTCAGATGCTTTACACACTTATCTCTAGTTCTGACAACTGAAACCTGCCATGTTCCCATTTTGAAACGAGGAATCTGGAGCTCAGAGAATGTAATAGCTCGTCCAACACTGCACAGCTAAACAAATGATCAGCCCAAACTTTGAAATCCTCCCCTTGTCCTAGAGACTTCTGTCCAGTTACCTACAACCAGGCTACCCTCTGTCCATCTCTCCCCAGCTAGCCAAGGGAGGCTTTGTTTCACCTGGACCTCCTGACCCCAGCTCCCACCAAGGTGGGTGACAACTCGGGCCTGCTTCTCACAGTCTCACAGTCTCCAAATGAGCATATGCCCTCC